CCAGTCTCCAAGAGAAATGCAAACCTAATTAAAGACACATGGCGTTTTTAGGCTATGTTAGTTAAAGATATTTAGATTGAAAATAGGCTTGCAGGAAGCCATGGGAAGTTGTTTCCAGGCTTGGTTTTTCAGAAGAGAATTGTCATGAGCATACTCCCAACTTACCTGAAGGAGATGTAAGGAAAATATTTAATAGAGTGCTATAATTACTGTAACCAGTACAGGCTGGGATCTGGCCTGCTGGAAAGTAACTTTGCAGAGAAGGACCTGGGGGTCTTGGTGGTCAACAAACTGTCCATGAGCCAGCAGTGCCCTTGTAGCCAAGAGGGCCAACAGTATCCTGGTGTGCATCAGGAAGAGCATTGCTAGAAGGTCGATGGAGGTGACCCTGCTCCTCTGCTCAGCCCCAGTGAGGCCACATCTGCAGTGCTGTGTCCAGATCTGGGCTCCCCAGTACAAGAGAATCATGGAGCTCCTGGAGAGGTCCAGTGGAGGGTGACAAGGACGATCAAGGGATTGAAGTGTCTCTCTTACAAGGACAGGCTGAGGGAGCTGGGCCTTGTTCAGCCTTGAGAAGAGCTGACTGAGAGGGGACCTCATCGACATATACAAGTATCTGAAGGGATGGGTGCCAAGAGGATGGACAAGGCTCTTCTTGGTGGTGCCAAGCAATAGGACAAGAGGCCATGGGCAGAAACTGATGCACAGGAAGTTCTACCTGAACATGAGGAAAAATGTCTTCACTGTGAGGGTGACTGTGCACTGGAACAGATTACCCAGAGAGGTTGCTAATGGTGTAATTTAGTAGCACTCCTACTAATCTTTCACTGATCACACAGTAGCTGAATCACTATGACTCAATTTTAACATTACACTCCTAATTTGAGACTTGTGACTTGAAATCTAGGAATCTTTCCCACTACAATTTGCATGTGATATCTTTATTTTGGCAGTAGTAGTAGAGGAAAGGCATGAAGGCACACAAGAAGTTGTCTAGAACCTGAAAAGTGTTGATGCTTTTGCCTAATGAGATATAAATAATATACTCTCATATATACCACCATACCACCTTAAAGAAACTCAAATTCAGTTGTTGTTCAGACATCAGAGTCGGTTCAACACGTTTAAGATATAGTGCAATCAAGTCTCTTTTGCTAACAGAACACAGGATACTTCCTTTAGGCAATCTGAAAAGAAAACCAGAATCTATTACCCCCACCTTCACCTTACCAGTGTCCCAGGACAAGCATCCCGTCTCTTTCACAGCCATTCTTGCCTGACCTATTCCAGAAAATTCATAGCTCTTTCCCAAAGAGGAGGGAAGGCAGCCTACAAATTATTTTCCTTCATAGAAAGCCCACATCCATGGGCTTTTCTCATGGCATTTCAATTTATAAGACATTGACTCCACTTTCCTTGTTTGTTACTAAAAGCCAGCTTTATCTTCATGCTAATGAAAGGTCCTAAACCTTGTCTGTAATGTAGCTGACAAAGACACCATTTACAAAGAATTCTGTAAACAGTGGCCCACTAGAAAAGTGAACCACTTTATATGCCTCTACTCTGTCAGAGTTGCCCTTGCTGGTTTGACTCCATACTTCTTTGGCCTGTAGGCCACTGCTTCTTTACGTGTCTGGCTGACACACAGCTACTGCTGTTCATGGAAATCGGAAGCCTCAAAAATCTGCAAGAGCTAAACAAATTGAATCTACCAGCTAGTAGAATCTTTTGAACCTCTACTTTCTTGGGCCTATAGTAAGTGTGTATTAAAAGCTCTTCCTAAGCCTTTGAATAAGAATTTGCAGAATGTGAGGTCTAAATATTGGTGAATTTAGTTCTGTTGAGAAAAACTGTTCTGGCAGAATTTCAAACAGACCTGGCACTGAGCCCCACTAATCTTCTTATTAATGTTCTTCTTATGAATCTTCCTGATAAAACTGTGAACCCAACAGATTAGTATTGGCAGAGCCTGGATACACATTTGGATTTGGAATAAGTGCACTATTACCTGCTGAAAAATAGAACTAAAAAAATAGCTGCACTTCTGTTGTTCAGGCGGCCCTAGACAGTTAACACACAAGAGTGCTTCTCTCTGCTGTCACAGTATTTGTATTTCATTCCCTCACTCAGACTGAAGCATTACCGCCGTTACCCTTCTGAACAAATTCCGAAAAGCTCATGTACTCCCAACTATTTTGTCCCTTGCTGTGCTAAGGATGGCTTCCCAGGCTACTACGGCTGCTTCTCTTCTCCCGTATTTGGAAGCTGGCCTTCAGCATGGAGATCCCTTGTGGGTTGCTGTTTAAATTCCAGAGTCACTGTTGCACATTACCATTTCCTTCAGCTGATGTAAATCAAATACAGCATGAGTGAAAAATGTGAGTATAAGCTCGGCGAACTGCTTCGTGAGGGGAACTGTGATGCATGCGGAAAGTTTGTCTCAGGACAAAACGTTTCACAAGCACAGCGTGCTTTGGACAGGGGGACGTTGCTGAGGCCATTGCCCCTCCTTTGGCAGCAGTTTGCACACACTTCACCCCTGTGCACCACACTGAATTGGCAGTGCTGGCACAGTGTACAGCAGTAAAGAATGACACACTCACATGGAAAATGCTGTTGCCTGGCATCAGGGACATTTTTCTATACACAGAGTCCAGAACGTACACAGGAATTTCATTTCACCCCTGGCATTTTAGGGCATCTGCAGCAAACGTAGTAGCCCTTAATTTTTGCTTCTCATCTTCCAGCAGCTCCAAAACAGCAGAAACCAAACATACCCTAGTTTAAAAAAATGTTAATCTTTTAATTAATCAACTGTTGTTTTTTGTAAGTGGACTGAAAACGTGATACTATATGGAACATAGAATACCTTAAATAGGAATGATTTTGAAATATTTTAACAGAACTAATAGTTTGTAGCTAAGTTCCTTTAGGATAGGATTTATGAACTTCTCATTCCTATCTCTGAATACTTGCATGGCAATGTCACCTGTGTAATGGGCAAAATGCCAGTCCACTAACACTTGACTCCTACAGGAAAGCAAGGCAAAGCACAGAGATCTTCTCTATGGGTAAGAGACTCACAGTTTAATACTTAATAGCTATGACTCTGGCTATAGAGGAGACTAAGAGAAAGATGAGCACGTTTTCAGTACGCTTCGAACATATTCTAAAGCAAATCTTATGGACATAACATGTAATAAGGACAGTTTTTTCAAGCCCAGAAGTGTAGCACAAATTGATGTAATTCTGGATTCTTCCCTTTGCTACAGGATAAAACTCTCACTGCAATCCTAATGATCTTTAAACTTCTGAGTGGCACAGCTCTGAAGACACACTGCCCTCTCTGTGACACCACTGCATTTTATGAGGAACAGAGAACAAAAAGATTCACAGAGCAATCTTACAGTGAGTCCTACTGAATTTTCGGCAAGTACAAGGTCCAATTATGTGAAAATAACTGCAAGTTCAGGATTTGGGGGGAGGAAGAAAGAATTATTTTTCCATTAGGTTAACTGTCTTTATTGTAATTACTTGAAGCTCCTCTGGGACACATAAAGAGTTTTAGTCAAGATGTATTAATGAATGACACAGACAAGACACTCAAAAGTATGTAAAAAAAAGTACGTTTATTCTGTGGATTTATATCTCCACTGTATATGGAGGGAGTTCATCAGTGTATACAAACTTGCAGTGCTGTCTAGCAATTTATCTTCTAAGTTTTGTCTAATTTGGCCATTTAGTACTTGTTGATGTCAGTAAACTCCTATATGTACTAATATATGGCTACAAATCCTTAGCAGGCATACTAAATCAGATAATTATATATGCCATAAAGAATCTATGAAAATGATAAAGACATTCATGATAATCCAGTTAAAAGGCAAATACATACAGGCATATATTCAAAGAGTTCATTATTTTTAGATATAGTGCTATTTAATTTTAGCCAATTTTGGCCAGTCTTGGCTTTGGTTTTGTGGTGAGTTTGAACATATACAAAATTGCAAAGACCCCTGAGCCTTTTCATTCTGCTGTAGGGAAATAAATAACTTATGGGACTCCAAACCAGCAAAACACTTAAAATTTCTGACTAATCTTACACTTACCAATACACACACGCTTTAATATTTTAGTAAATGAAATCTAATATGAGGAACTATTAGGAAAGGAGTTGATATGTACAAGCATCTAATATTACAAGACAGGAAAAAAGCCTACAGAGGCACTGATAAACATGTAGCCAAAAAAAAAAAGGCAAATATTTCATAGGTCATCTTATGGGCTGAGTTGGATACAGGAGTCCTTGAAATGGAATTGAACATAATTGCATGCAAAAATACTTAATCAAGAACTGACTAATCAAGATGTGTTCTTGCAAAGTAGACAAAAAATTGTGAGACCTTACTTATCTCAATTGAGATATCTGTTCATTTCAGTGCAAAGTAAAACAGGGAAAGCTTAAACTGATCAACAAGAATAACTGAAATCAGCCTTTCCCTTTTTTAAAAAAAATGCATAAAGACCATGCAAAAAGTTAGTTGCCATGTCTCAGCTGGTAGATGCACCAGCTCTGTAAACTGCTTGAGGACAAGAGTTTTACTGCTCTCACAGAGCATTTTTTTGGAAAGGAATCATGGTGCAGCAAAGGCCATTTAAAGCTGAATGACAGCCTCCACATCAGGCTTAATAGTGGAACTCATCTATCCAGTTATAGAGAAGCTCCTGAAAACTACCTTTTGCTTTATGAAAAACAAAGTCTATTGTAGGTTCATAGTAATGTTAGCACAATAATAGAAAGACTTTGTTTGCATTTACTGTGAATAGACTGTATAAGTTTAACTACACATACACTATCATACATGCTTTACATATACATGATAATACATTTTTGTCTGCAATTTTTCAGAAGAAAAGTTGGAAAACCTGGTTTTTTTGAACCTTATCCGTAATTAGCAATTTCTAGAATAAGTACACACACATATATTTAATATGCTTACCTGTCTTTCCTACACGTTTCACATTCTTAGAAAATTCTTCAATTTTGTTGTTACGACTGTGGTGATACTCCACAATAAACCACTTCAGAATGCAGTGCAGTTAACAAAATGTTTTGGGTTCAGAGCAGTTGACACAGTAACTGAGAAGATGACAAAAATAAACTACATTTGCACTCTTGGTTTCCCAGTAGAACTTCTAGCAAGAAACCCCGAAGGAAACAGTGAATAGGTAGCAGCATGCTCTGCAGACCTAAGCCCCACTATATTTTAACAACAGAACACAACTACAGAAGGGCAGCTAGGAACCAAGTGGTGGTGTGGGATGAAACAAAGTTCATATTCAGGAGAAGGAAGACAACTGTGATTTAAATTTTCCAGTTGTAATAGGCTGCTCCCATCTAGCTCAGATAGTGACTGGTGATGAGTCAGTTCAGTATAAAAATTCTGAAGTGTTGGTCTTATTGCAGTTCCTAGAACACAGCCAGTCAAGGCACAGAACTAAACAGAACCTAACCTAGTTTCATTGCAGAAGTCATCTTTAAAATGGCAAGGCACGCTGACAGGCTGTCCTGGTGAAGTTACACTGCCATAACACCTTAGTAATCTGCTCTGTCTTTCCTCTGGGTTGTCATTTCTTGGGTGTGAAATTTATTCCATCTGTGCCAGTCACCTGCACACTAGAGCTATCAGTACAGTAGTACCATTCTACAACAAATCCATGATGAATTTAAAGTTTATGTTTAAGGTAGACATTACCACAGAAAGAAAAAAAATCTTTTTTTTTTAAGCTTCAATCATCCATTGCTTACTCCTTAGATGACCCAAAGTTAATGCTTGATAAGAGGGAAGTGCAGAACATCCACTGACCAACAGTGGCCTCCAATCCTCCAGAAGCTGATAGAAGAGACTCTAAACCTTAAATTTCAACATATGCTTACATCTTCACAGGACCAAGACAGTAATACAATCCAGCTTATGCAATATATGAATACAGCATTTCTGTAAATTTTCTCAGGCATCTAATTAGCTTTTACTCAGAAAAATTAGAAAGTGGTGTAGTAAAGGAACAATATCAGGTCATTCCAGGGAAAAGTAATTAATCACAGCCAAGTGTATTTGCCTAGAAAACATAATTCTTCTCTGCTGAGGTATCTAATACTGAGAATAACTACTGTAAAATGGAGGCTAGTGCTTAGAGCTAACCAGACATGCACTTCAACGAAGTATTAATACTAGCCAAACACCTTATAATTACAGACAGCTCTTCATGAAGCTCTTTGTAAATAGTTCTGTTCCACCGCTCCTGCCACTGGCAGCTGCAGTGCCAGGTACCCTGAGCACAGGATACAGGACTCTCCAAAAGATACTGGGGCACAGGCTGCATTGCAGCTACGCTTTTTGTAAGCACAAAGTGTTCTCCCTTTTTCCACCAAAACCTATTACTTCTGTATTCATACATCTCACTTACCTCAGTGGAAGGAAAGAGAGGATTTCTTTGCTTCGTTAAAAGACGTGTGAGAAAAGGAGAATTTATTTATCTGGTTATCTGGGACAGAGAGAAATTATGGGCCTAAAGACAACGGAGATTTTTATAAGCAGAAGAGTCTGCAGAAATGGGTTTAACTGGACTCAACTGAGTTCTTATGACATACTAAAAGACATGGAAAGAGTGTCTTAAAAGGTAATCCTTTAATTCAAACCATATTAACTTATTTGAGATGCTGGTCACCACTGTCATGCTAATAATAGATATTACTTCTTAGCAACACTAAGATTTTGAGTGTGTGAAAAGGAAAGGAGGTTCAGCATTTCCTCTTTTTCTTTCTCAGTAGGGAATCCATTGTTGCATGTGTAATACCATACTGGAAGAGGACAAAAGAAAGCATACATTTCCACCTTGGGTTCAATAAATGGAAAATATCAAATCTGTCATTACTTTCTAACCATCTAGTAGGACCTGATGAATTAATGAAACTGTATAACCTGGGGAAGTAATCTCACAGTAACAGTAAAATTAATGTATAATTACAGACTGAGTTGTGCAAAGGGCAAGAGAAACTGAACTTTTTAAATAAGTACCTGCCTCAAAGCTGTTATTCATGTGACATCAATGCGACAGTTGTGAATACTGCAAAGGAAAGAGAAAATACTGTAAAGGCAGTACATAAGAAGAAGAAAAAAAAAACACCTTACAAGTGTTACATGTATTGCTGTTAATTGCATGGAATTTTGCTGGATGTGGCTTCACAAATTAGGCAGCCACAGCAACAGCATGCAGGAAATTTCAGTGATGGGCCTGCAGTACAGTCACATAGTGCAGACAATAAAATTTGATTTTTGTATGGGCAGAAATGTTACCATTATAACCCAAATAGTAAAACAAACTCTAAATACCAACACATATTTTGGCCCTGTAGGTAAGCAAAGTTTCAGAAGGCCACTAAAAATTTTCATCTGCTCTATATTTTATTTTGCCTGTAGTAACTGTACCTATTTGAGTCACCAAGTCAGCCTTTTATAGTGATTGGATATCACTTTTTTTCTTAAGGACATATGCACACCCATGCATATTTCAGGCAGAAGTCAGTACAGTTGATCCTAAACCTAAAGCAATTATATTTAATCAAAGAACTTAGCTTATGTACAAGTCCCACAAATTACTAAATACATGGTTTATTAGGTCTGCATAGTTCCACAAAACAGAATTTAAGAGATTATTATTTCATGACATGGACCAATTTGCTTTTTGTAATTCCCAGCTCCAGCACGCTGCTATCCAGAAGGATTTTTATCTGTGCTCATTATTACTGATACATAGTATGCAAAAGAGGCACTGCTGAGAATGCATATACCAGAAATGGAAGTATCTGCTATATAGCCAATAGCAAACAACAGAAACTACTCTTAGAGTGCACAGTTCAAGTAACTTAGTACACTCAAGACTGCTGAGAGGCTGATATTCCAAGCATGTTTTGCATGCCAATAGCATAATTTGATTATGTTATCAAGCCTCCAGGTATACCTCTTTCTGAACAAGATGGGATTGTACAACACAGAAATTAGTAATATGACTTCTACCACTGCAGATTCAATAAATACACACTCACAAACACAATTCCAGCACACTAAAAGAGAACAATAACAAAAAAAATAAAAATTCAGAGGTTTGGCTAAGATTTCTAACCCTATACAAAATCTGTTATTCTTAACTCTTCAGGCCTACAACTTGTAACTGTCCCTGTAGCTCCAACCACGACAGCACTGGTATGAGAAGGTACAGAGACAGATCCTTGAGCCCACGCAAGCCTTACTGACTTAATTGCTCTTTCTGTATGTCCCCGTGTCTGCTGGTAGGACCGGCTGTGTTCAAACACTGCACAGAAAGAACATTGTTTGCTCTGAAGCATTTTGGAGTTTAGCTTCACCTAGCCTGACAGGAACATTGATTTATAGCTTAAAATAGCAGAACAAGGACGAAAACACCTAAAAGTCAGCAGTAACTTTTGAAACCTAATTCTGTGCTCGGATTACCAAGGAAAGGAACAAGTGCAGACTGCAACCTTATAACTCCTCACTCACATGCTTTATTCTATTACCACGAGCGCTGCCCGTGCCACAAGAGACTCGCCGGAGGGCGGGCAGCGCAACGCTCCGTGAGGGCTCACCCGGAGCTGCGCCGGGACTGGCGGCCGTGCTCCCACACGGGAAAGCGGGAATTTATGTTCCCCTCTGGCTACGGCTTGTACTCCTTCCTCCGACACCACGCCGCCCACTTAAGTGTATTTAAACGAGCTCCCGCACCCGTGCCGCTGTTACCACCAGTCACAGGGGTAAAACCTAAGGCGAGGTTCGCTCTCCCACTACACGACGCCCCGGCCCGCACCGCAGGGCCACCGCCGCCTCAGCGCTGTCCCGCCGCGTCCCCTCAGACTCAGAGGGGACACCGCTCCCCACCTCAGGCGGGAGGGCAGCGGGACAGAGGGAACACCCCTCCGTACCTGAGGCGGGGCGCGGGCGGAAAGGGGCACCCGCCACCTCTCCCCACTTTCCCTCTGTGGGGCGGAAGCGGTCGGGACCGCGCCCCGGGCGTTCCGCACCGGGCCGGCTGCGGGCGCTGAGGGGAGAGCGCAGCCCTGCAAGGAGGGGCGCGCCCCAAGCAGTGCCTGGGGACAGGGGTTGGGTTCGGTCCGGCCAGGGCCGTCACCTTCCCCCGGCCGCCCCCGTCCCGGTGATGCCCAGTGTTACACACCCGGCCGGGAGGCCTCGCTCCGCCTCAGCCCGACAGAGCGAACTCGCGCCGGCGGGCGGGCGTGGCGCAGGAATCCCGGAATCCCGCCACCCCACCGCCCCCCTCGGCCCCCGCTATCCCGGCACCCCGGCTTTAATCGTCTCCTTATATGGACACCAGAATGTCTGACGTCATCCCGACGCTGGGAAACCAGCGCCCGCGCAGCCAAGCTCGGTTGGGAAGGCGGGTGGTGCGGGAAAGGCGGGGGGCGGAGGGGGAAGGAGGCTCTGGAATGTTGATGGACGTGGCCTTTCGCCACTGGGAGCGGCGGCGCCGGGTCGGCCATTGGGCGAGGAGGGCGGGGGCGGGAGCGGCGGGAGGGGCCGGTTGTGGCGGTTGAAAAGCCGCCGCCTGGCTGGGGAGCGGCGCCAGTGCGGGGTGGGCGCTGTCGGAGGGAGGCAGGAGGGTGGCGAGTTCGAGTCCCGCCTCTGCGAGCCTGAGCCGGGAGCTGCTTCTCTGGGCTGCCGCACTCCGCTCTGGGGCGAGGGGAGGTCGGAGTAGTCGTTTGGTCTCCTCTCCTTCCTCGTTCCCCTCTTGGCGCGGAGGCCGCGGCTCTCGCTGTGGGGCGCCAGCTCGCAGGGACAGAGTTTGCCAGGAGTTTGTGCGGACTTCGGGCCCCGGCCCCCCGCCCCGCCGCCGCCATGCCCGTCTTCCACACGCGCACCATCGAGAGCATCCTGGAGCCGGTGGCCCAGCAGATCTCCCACCTGGTCATCATGCACGAGGAGGGGGAGGTGGACGGCAAGGCCATCCCGGACCTCACCGCCCCCGTGTCGGCCGTGCAGGCCGCTGTCAGCAACCTGGTGCGGGTGAGTAGCAGCGGCCGGCGCCTGCTCCGCGCCTCGTCTTCCCGGAGCCCCTTCGGCCGCCGCGGCCAACTTGGGAGCCCGCCCCGGGCTGTCGCGGACAGGTGAGCCGGCCCCCGCCCCGTAAGGGACCGGCTGCCCGGCGGTGGTGGCCGGGAAGGGGTTAAGTTGGGAGGCTGCCTGGACCTCTACGGCTCCCGCCTGGAAGCCGCCTTGGGCTGTTCCCGCCCCGGCCGGCGAAGGAGCCGGGTGAGCAGTGCTGCGGAGCAGTGAGTTCTCCCAGCAGAGAGTAGTTCGCCGTGTCCGAGCGAAGAAGCCTTTGCCCACCTGAGGAGCGGCATCGCGTCAAAGCGCAGCAAAGCGCGGTGGGTGCTGCTGTTCGTACCCGCCCCGAAACGCCTCGCAGATGGCTCTGATACGCTGTGGGGTTCCTCGCTGCCTTGGAAACTCCTATTTTAAGTGTGTGCACTATAAAAGGCAAAATACTTACTTGGCGTGAGCTCATCCTAAAAAAAAAAAAAAAAGTCAAATTCCGACAATTAAACCCCAGACTTCCCAGGCATTTGGTTTTGAGTGTTAATTTGGTGAAGGCTGGCCGTTCGTTATCAGCGCAGGAGTCGAGGCGGGACAGACCTGTGGTTTCCAGGCGAAGTCTGGAGTTGTAAATTGTTCTTGTTACGTAGCCTCCAGTGTGAGTTACTGATCGCTGGTGGGAAGCTGAAATTCTGCTTGAATCTCTCGATTTCTGGAGAGCAGCTATGCATAGCATAGCATGTCTCTTTAAGATCTGAGCATCTGCAGTGTGGACATTTCAGTTTGAGAAGTGCAAGTGATTAATACGATTGAAGTGTTTTACTTCTATAGGTACTTTTATAACCATAAAAAAAAATTTTGATATAGAAAACACTGTGATGTTGCATACTCTTTTATTGCATTAAGAATTACTTGGTAATACTTAACTTACACTTCTGTTAAGTTCATTTACAGATACTGAATTAATTTTTGAACATCAGGTGTTGCTTGCTCATTTTGAATCCTGTAAAATTCTGAAGTAATTCATGGCAAGCAATACCCTTTGCCAGTAAACCTTACCTTAAAATGAGTAACTATGTACAGTTAAAATACTGTGTCACTATTAACTTGATGTATTAATGCACTGAAATTGCGAGGCTTGTGGGTATAAGAAACTATCAAGATGACTAATGTAGATGATGTGTTTATCATCTTTTGGCCTGTAGTACTTGCTACTGCTAGAATAACTTGCCACTTTGATATTCTGCAGTTTACTACAGTGTAGCTGCATCTCTTCGTCCCCACGACTGTGAATTTTACAGGTTGTGCTGCTTGGAATACTTGTGCTTCCTGCTGACTTTAGCAGAAACTCTTCTTATGAAGAACAATTGGTCTGCAGCAACAAAGTGATGTAATAGGTGTATTGGCTGTGAGGGTGTAAAGCATGAGTATATGAAATACTTTTCCTTGAAAGGAAGACTTTGGAATAACACTTTGCTTCTCTGAGCTTAGCCTGTATCATTGGTTTGTGTGACTGTTTTTCCCCACCCCACCTTCCTCTCAAAAGAAACTTGATCTGATAAAGTCTTATTTATTGGAGAAATGCAGAAACAGAACTAGTTTCATTCTGCAGCTTGCTAATGCCTGCTCTTTTTTCATTTTGGACTGTTTTGGAAGCCTCTGGTTTTCTTTTCTTGCCTGCTAGTTAGATAAAGGAAAAGACTGTTGAATTATTTTTTTGTGTGTTAATTCACAAAGAGCAAATAGAAGTGATGTAATCTGAGGTGGTACTTACCAGGAAGATGCCCTTACCTGGTAGAATACAGCTTTGCCTTCATTAGGAAAAATACAGAATTAAAGTTCTGTTTCCTGTCTGGAGCTGTGTCTTTCAGTGCATCATTCCAAAGTGTAAATGGGATTTGTGAAACAGCAATTTCACTGGAGCAGGAGTATTTATGCAGACAGGTTATCAAATTATGAGCCCTCTGGTGTCCTCACAGGTGACAGCAAAGATGGACTTGTCAGTGCAAGCAAGAGAGTGATGCCAACGAGCTGCCAGCTCCTTGTGTTGCTTGCTGTCTGCTCTGGGTTCGTTGTGTAGCACGGCTGTCACAAAGTAAGGGGAAGTACTGATGAGCAGAGAATTCTTTAGTGATAAATTGTCACACACAGCAGCACTGTCCTCCAGCTCCCCAGCCTAGAGTAAGGACTCCACAGTTTGGAAAGTTAATTGATTTAACTATTGCATCTGTAAGTAACTGCTGGTGGCAGTGTTTGAAGTCCTGACACCCATTCTTGTGCAAGGGCTAGGAGTTGTGCTGTATGGGGAAATGGGTTAGGAAATGACTGTATGGCTGTGAGGAAGGACCCATGTGCAATAACTTATTTTGTTGGTATTCCTGAGATGGAGTTAGCACAATACACTATACTCAAGATGGAACAGAAGTCTTAATTTAAGACTATTAGATAAATTAAAAGGGAGTCCTTCTCCTAAATACCTTGATTTGAGATGTCTATATGAGAACTCTTCCCTCAGTTTGCATTTAACACGTGCTTCTGCATTTTCTGTCAGAAATGTTTGTGCTGTATTTTAAGGTTTGCCTGAAGCCATCTTAAACTACATGGGTATTTTAATGCAAAATTTGCACACCCAGGAAGACCTGTAGAGATGCCTCCTTGTCAGAACCTAGTTGTAATCCTGGGTAAGAGATAATACAAGTCATTGTTGAAGTTAATGAAATAATTGAATCTCTATGAATTAGTCTTTCCCTTAGTAAACACTGAAGAAAGACTTGGTATTCTGTTTCCAATATGTGGGTTTGATTCTACTGCATCTTGAATATTCTGTTAGGACATAGCTTTTGCAGAAGAATTCTCAGATTGTTTTGAAGTATTTTGATGAAGTTTCTTAACTGTGAAATAAAGTACTTGTGGCCTGTGCAAAAATTCAACATGTGGAGGGAGATAACCATCAGAAGCTTTTTGCATGGAAATAAGCTTTGACTGAAACCAAGTATTTGAGGGAGAGGCTTCAGATACCACAAGATTATTAATGTACTAAATCTGTTTTTTCAACAGGAAATCTTTGTTTTTATTGGCTGATATTTGTAGTGGATGTGTGCCTCTTATGGGAAGATTGATGCTTGGTATTAGCTGAAGATGTGATGCTGTGAGTCAACAGAAGCAGTGCTGGTGATAGTAATAGTCAAGACCACCCCACTTTGAGCTTGCTAAATATAGTATTAGTTCAGTGGAGAGTGAAATGAAATTCTGATTTCTAACTGGTCAAACATCCTAGGGAAGAAATGAACCATGTGGTGGTTTTCTAGTTGTTTGTGTTTTTTTTTGTTTCCTAGTTCTTTGGTTTCTCTTGCCTTTTTTTTTTTTAACACTCATCAGACTTTTAGCCTACTTTTGAAAAGAGGGATTTCTATCAGA